CGCTAATCAGCAGGCAGCAGCGATAAGCGGTGTTGCCGTATCTAATGCAATTTCCCTAGCTGTTGCTAATGCAAAATGCGAGGAGTTGATCCACTTAAGTGATGTAGCTTCCGAAGTTCCGTTCACTAAGGTGGTTAATAAAAAGAAAATGAAACTAAACAATATCAGGCAGACATCAGAAGTTATACCTAACCCTAAAATTTATAACCCTTTAGATAGATTAGATATGGAGGAAAACTTTTATGGGCATATAGTAAAATTATCTCGCCGTAACAGAGATAAAGTTTCACACGGTTTTGTGCATTTTCCTGGCCTATAATTCAAACATAAAGTAACGGCGCAGAAGAAATTGTAATGAATTTTCAATATATTATTTCATTTTGTGGAAATATCGTAAAAAAACATTTCGAATGTGGTGGCTTTAAGATAAAAAGTTATAAAAGTGATATAGATATTTTAATCAAAATTTATAAAAAAATTATTCCTAGAGGTATAGCTCTGAAGCGTCGCCTAAAAAAATTGAAACGGTAAAAGTGGTCGTAATCTTCCAAAAATCCATTGTGGTCCACTTTGAGCAGCGCCGCCATCGTATTTTAGAATGAATGGGTCCTATTTTCAATTTATTTTTCAATACGCAGCACTCTGATAATTTTTGTTTTTCTAAAAAAAAAAAAATTAATAATAAATCGCATAATTTTCAACGTACCTAATGGTTTACTCAATTTTCATAAATTAAATATTTCATTATTTGAAAATGACATATATCAGAAATATAAAATAAAATTAATGCAAAGTAATTGTATACAGGGTGTTTTCACTTTAAATTTGGAAAATGCAGGAATGTATTCCCTATCAAAAATTAAGTGTAGTTTGCTCTATACAATTTTTTTATGAAAGCCTTTGTTTTGGAGATACAGGGCGTTGAAGCTTAAAAAAAATAAACACTTTTTGACATATCTCGGCTATCCACGAGTAGATTTGATTTAAACTTGGTACACATTATGCGTATTGGGGGTTCTCATAATTGACAGAATATTAGTCCTGTCGCATTAGCCAGTGGCGTGCAAAGGGGGATGCGTGGGCCCTTTTTCAAAAACAAAGTACGCCATTGAGTTTTTCGAAAAATGTAAAGTAAATTTAAATACTACCATACAAAAGCAATCTAAAAGGTCTCTAGGTATTTTTCGATAATACGCAGCGTTCATGAGAATTTTGGACTATTAAGATTTCAATGAATGAAAAAAAAAATTACGACATTGAGTAGAGGAAAGTAATGAAAATATTTACAAGTTCTTGGCTTGCTGCGAAACAAAAAAGTTGCTATAAATTTTAATGCAGCATTTGAATTCAAAGAAAAATATCTCTTTTTCTCATTCAGCACTACCGTACCATGTTATCATGCATTGGAATATTAATAGTCCAAGAATCTCATGAACGCTGCGTATTATCGAAAAATACCAAGAGACCTTTTAGATTGCTTTTGTATAGTAGTATTTAAATTTACTTTACATTCTTCGAAAAACTCAATGTCGTAATTTTTTTTTTTTTCATGCATTGAAATCTTAATAGACCAAGAATCTCATGAATGCTGCGTATTATCGAAAAATACCAAGAGACATTTTCGATTGATTTTGTATGGTAGTATTTAAATTTACTTTGCATTCTTTGAAAAACTCAATGGCGTACTTTTTTTTTCGAAAAAGGGGTCACGCATCCCCCCTTTGCACGCCACTGGCTAATGCGATAGGACTGATATTCTGTTAATTATGAGAACCCCCAATACGCATAATGTGTACCAAGTTTAAATCAAATCTACTCGTGGATAGCCGAGATATGTCAAAAAGTGTTTATTTTTTTTAAGCTTCAACGCCCTGTATCTTCAAAACAAAGGCTTTCATAAAAAAATTTTATAGAGCAAACTACACTTAATTTTTGATAGGGAATACATTCCTGCATTTTCCAAATTTAAAGTGAAAACACCCTGTATATTTTTCATTATACTAGTAAGGTGTTACTAAATTACGTCTAAAACACTGTATATTTGTAATTGGCTAAACATTTTTGGTCACTTTGTACAAATAACTTCTTTAATTGCAAATTAACCTAAACCCACTCAACATAATGTATTATTATTGACAAGGTCTTGTTTCACATACACAAATCTATATCTTATAGCTGAGTTGTTGTAATCGTAAAACCAATTTTAATATTTTAATTATAAATAATAAAGGCATCATATGCAACTACCTGAAGCGGTAGTATCATTACTTAATGAGTATTTTGTGCAAGCAATTGACAGTATTGTTAAAAATCTTTCGAAGAATCACTCATGTTTTTAAAACGAGCCAAGAAATGTCATTTTTTTTAGCTAAAAAGTTTCAAAAGTTCGTCTGGTCAAGGCTCATAAGAAAAGTCAACAAATGCTACTATTGAGCCACTAACATAAGTAATAAATTTACTATCTGAAACTTTTCCAAATGCATTAAAAAATGGCACAATAATACTCACCTTTGAAAAACAGGATGCGCAACTTTTAGAAATTTATATGCCTGTACCTACTTAATTAAATTGATAAATCTAAAAGTTTGGATGTATTTTTAAACGTTGTTTATTTTAAAACTGTTCGTCAACTCTGACCTTTTTACTTTTCCGTTGAACAAATATGCCAATTCGTATAAATAATCCGATTAAAAATTTCCATTGCAGTGCGCAAACATCTTCCTACACGTTATCGAGTGTCCGATCATGCATAATATTTAGAAAATCTTAAAAGTAATATTTTTTAAGAGAAAACGATGGTTGTACTTAATAAATTCGTTATTTGTTATATTATGTAAATATGGCAATTAACAAAAACTATAAAGAAATTGTAATTAAATGATTTGTTACTTGTCACGGTTTAATTATGTTCTGGATACATTTCAACCATAATCAGCAGTTTTTTGTAGACTTTATAAGAAAGGTGCTTTAAAATAAACAAAAACAATTAAATAGTATAATAAAACTTCAATTTTATGTTTTTTTGTTTTAATACTAAATTATTGTAACTTTTTTATTTCTATTTTATTCTAAAAATTTTTGAAAAATATTTTTCTCGCTGGCAAGGAAAAATTCATTTAATTTTTATAAATTGAACCGTTACGTAGAAATTGAACCGTTTTGTAGAAATTCAAGATGATAAGTGTGATTTCATATAGGTACCTACTTTGACACATTTTGAAAAATTTCCATAAAATAAATACTTTACTTGTGTTAGCTTGAAAAAAACTTTACATTTCTTTTCTTGAAGAAAACAAACGCAGCAGCAGCTTCATATATTTGAAAACTAAAATATCTTATCTTATAACAAGTAAAGTAGGTAGGTACCTACTTGTTATATGAATTTCTGAAAACTGTATGAAATGTGATATTTTTTGAGAAAAGCTTATATAAAGAAAGAGATGCACTTACTTTTGTATGTAAATACTATCCGAACTGAAGATATCGGGAATCAATTTAGGATTAAATTCTTCCTGCAGGACACAGTCGTAAACAAATTTCGCATAAGGGGTTATCCTGTTATTCCTACATCTTTTACGAAATATTATTTTGACATGTCTACACATATTAATCGATATACGTATCGTTTTTTGCATCTAAAAGTGACGATGTTTAACAAATTGTAACTTCTAAATCAATGGAGGCAAAACCGCGGTTGAAGTAGGTACGCAAAATACTAGAATGTTTATTTATTTCCTCAGGGAATATAAGATGTTCTCTAAATGTCGACTTTGGCCTCTCCAATCCAAATATACCTACATTTACACTGAAAGAAATGCGCCTTATTTTTTATTAGAATTTTAATCGACATTAGAAAAACACTGTATACTATATGTGATAGATAAACTGATGATTATAAAAAATGCGTTTTACTAACGCAGTTGTATAGTTATAGACAATAGTCTTTATTAAATTATTGTATAAATGATATACAACGCTGTTTATACTATTTATGAAATGATGGCTGTAACTAATATTAATGGGTTCTATACTCGTTATTAGAATATCTAGTACTAATTATAAGTCTTTGTCTGTATGAGACAAAAACATATGACATTAAATTTTCGGAAACGTTATCGTAGAACAAGCTGATATTCTAATGTAAACTTACTCTGAATGTTAAAAGTGATGATAAATCGCTCCTAAACTGGCCAGATTATCTTCCTAGTAACGATGCACCCATGTTTTCTTCTATTGCAATACATGGGAACATGCACTATATCTCTTTCATCCTAAGAATGAAGCATTCCTAAGAGGCTGATTTTCTTCTAATTCTGTTTCCTGTGGTTGACTGATTTTACCCATGCTCTTCTTCGTCACCCTTAACCTTCTGTTCCTCCATCTCATGTAAGGCTTAACTCAGCGGTTTCTAATACTCTTTAAGTTTCAGACAATTTAAATATGACAAAATAAAACAATTATAAACCATAAGATAGATTCCATTTCATACAACGCAGTATGATTATGTATCTCCGAAACATGTGTATATACTGCAAATTCTCATCCAACCAGAAGAAGCGTAATAACCGATGCATAACGGACTGTTGAAAATTTTATGTTTGGAACTGCTTATGCACCTAGTGGTTACAATCACTTAGCGGAAACATAATCATTATGAAAACGAATTATTCTATTAATTATATTGAGGTATTACTCTTTATGCAACAAATCTTCTCTAGAATACAAATGGAACATAAAACCTATAACACCTAATAGTGTATATGTAAGTAACTCCTTATAATCTTTATTTTATGAATGCATAACGTGTATTAAGTGCATTCTAATAAAACTAACTAATTGAACAATGAGTATGAAGATGAGGTTTTTTAAAATAAAAGTTATATTTGTTATAAAAGATTTAACATGCGCTACACACATTATTGCAGAGAAACAACCTAATAAGTCCATTTCTTTCAGTGCAATTTTAACGGAATGTTTAAGTAACTTTCGTATTGTTCCAGCACGTGGAGAGGAGGGGTGAGATGATAGTTAGGATCCTGGACTCCAGGCATCTGGGACGGACAGCAGGTGAAGCGGCCAAGCGCTTCATGTCCATGCAAGATGCCAAGCACACGGTCCAGTTCGTGGAGATAGTGAAGAGGCCCGGCCAAACTCTTGGCTTGTACATAAGGGAAGGGAACGGCATTGACAGGAACGACGGCGTTTTTATATCCAGGATTGCTTTGGAATCCGCCGTGTACAACAGCGGATGCCTCAAGGTAACCAGAAAGTCGATTAAGTGCCAGATTAAGAGTAACGTGCTTCGAAATTTCTTTTCGACGTCACGGATGTTCTTAGTTTTAAAAAGTTCTTTGGTTTGCACGTTTCTTTCATAACTAACTCAATTGAAATGTAGGAGATAAGTTTCTGATTTTAAAAGTTTCATGTCATAGACGAAAATTAAGTTAACACGATTTAAATTCTGTACCAGTTTTTTCACGACCAGAATATTAAATTTCACTAAATGGAACACGAATAAAAGTCATATAAGAAAAGTACGTATAATATGGAATATAAACACAGGTTGTTTAATAGGAAATTTTGTATTACTTTGTTTGTGTACTGCCCACATTTATCATACATTTTATTTGTTTGGAAAAGTTTAAATACTATTATTACTGCTTGGGTATTCATTACAATAATGAGCTGTAATAAAGGATAGTTATTGTTCTACAAAACTAATAAATTCAGTTACTTAATACTCTTGTGTTTTGTTAGAAACATGATATGCATAATTTGTTTTCTATTACCTCGAATTTTTTAAATAGAATTAGGAATAAGGTCTGTATGTAATTTTGTTGTATGTAGAGTATCGTTACAGACTACTCATGAAGAAAGATATGTATATAGGATGTTTCATAATAGTATGTCATTATTCAGGGGGGTGAATCTGTGCATGATTTTAAGTAAAAAAAGTACATATAAACATATGTCCGGAAATGCTTCGTACTATGGTACAGAGTATTAAAGTTTCAATAATTTTTCTGTTTTTTTCTTAATTTTTGAGATTTGTAGCTCAAATTTGGAACGTAGACTAACTTAAATTACCTGCATCATCAGCCCTGCCTAATAGTCGTTACAATCTACAGGGTGATACTTTTTCTAGGGTCGGGCCTTTTTTGAGCACCCCAAACTTACTTCCGGTGCATCACTGGTCTCTTCTCAAGGGTTTAATTCCTTGTTCAATTTAGAAACTTTTTTGTCTCTTGCAATGTATTCTTATCCGCTGCCGTTTTCAAGCAAAAAAATAAAAAGTGATTTCCTGTAATAAAAAAAAATCAGAAAAATTATAACTGTACCATGGTAACGAAGCATATATGGACATATTTTTAACTTTTTTTCTTAAAATCATGCCCAGATTCACATATGACATATTATGTATTATGAAATATCCTGTATATCGCAAGAATAGGTAGAGATATTTACTGAAACTATAATTATAAAAAACAAAATTTTATTTATTTGTTTAATTCATTTAACTTAAAGCTGTTATTCCTAATTCAAATTTTAATTAAAGTGCCCTTTATCATTTGTCATTCTTAATCCATGCTTTAAAGAAGATTTATATCACATTTTAGGATTTAGTTAAAAGAGAGATGTCAAGTTAAGTTTCCTTGAAAGTAAAATTGCATTAATTACAGTTTTTATATTTATTGAATAATACAGGGTGTTACAAAAAGGTAAGTCGGTCCGTTAAATACTTTATTTTTCATTATTTCAATAAAAAAAAAGTTTAAACATCTCGCAAATCAAGTCCTAAATTAAAATTATAAAGTACGGAAGACTTGAAGAAATTAGCGAAAAATTTAAGACTACCACAATCTCCTTTCATACGTTCGTGTTTTAATTTTTTTTAATCAAAATTATATGAAACGTGTGCTAGTATAAGATATAACTTTCAACAAATAGTAAGTCAATATCTTGAAGGACAAGACAAGTATTATTAAATATCTTTCTTAAAGTAAAAAACTATTTGATATTCCGTATTTTGAAAAATTAAAATGAAAAATGGTATAACATTGGTATAAGAAAAGTCCTATTTTTATCCAGATAATTTGAGGAAATAGTTTGACTTATTTTTTGTAACACCCTGTATATGTGGGTGTTTAGAATGAAAAACTATAATTCAAAAAATAATAAAAGTTTGGGTAAAAATTAATAATAACTTGCACTAAGTAAAAATGAAAGTTAAAAAAAACATTTGCAAAGATACGAGAAAAATTAATTTAAGAGTTTGAGAGGAATACGAAAATTTATTCTATATATTTTTTTCTTCTTCATCCCCTCTTGTAATTGTTTTGGTCATTTAACTTATCTTGAGGAGGAGGAAATAATTGTTGAAATACGTATTACTTAGAGCTCGACTTACTGTAGATAATAATTCTATACGGGTAATAAGTTAGTATATCTACGAATCATAATGCTGCTTTATTAACTCGAAAAGTAATACGCATACAAAACTTAAAGCTTACAAAAATTTTTTTTTTTAGGATATTAAGTTGTGGCTTTATTTTATATAAATTATGTTAGTTATAGTCCATTTATGATAAATTTGCAATGATATCACAGTGCGAAATGATACAGTATTGCCAGTTGTATTTTTTCTAGGACATTTAAGAAAATTAATTTTTGATAGCCAATCCAGTTTATTAGAAATTTAATCTAGAACCACAAATTATGTAATGTAGTCCATTTAAATATATAATTTAGCAAAAAAAAAATTCATTTAGAATTAGGTAATAAGATTCGCAATTCTATCAGACATAACCTAACATTTTTGACATAAGTTTAAAATATTATTGATAATGTTTAAAATACAGTTCATAATTAGTTTAATAATTATAACTAACGTTTCCTATAGCGATAAGTTGAAAAAGTGGCAATCCATTGTCACGTTCCTGTTCAAAATATTCTATTAACAACGCTTTCAATTGGTTCAAATACACAAAAATCTCACGGATATAACTAATAGACCATAACATATTGCGCAGTTGAACCATTGTATCTTTACGTTTACATAATCAAGTATGAACTAAGATTTCAAACGAGTTCAAATCAGTAGTTCTGTTCATGAATTGCTGTTCATTTAAGGAATAGTGAGGATTCGCGTTTGTATAATGAAATCCACCAAAACCAAACAAACTTAACCTCAATTTACTGAAACATCTACAGAACTCAAAGAAAATCAATCTGTGACAACAAAGGATGTAGGAAACACTGCTAATCAAATGTGTCATACTTTTTAAGCGCACAACAAACGACAATATGTCTCTGTGGGAACTAGTGTCAGTTGCACAATGTAATGAAGGCGATTGCTTGTCTTTTTCTATAATAATTAGTTAATTCACGTTGATAAATAATTGAACATTTGTCTTTTATATTGATGTATGTTGATTATTGATGATGTGAATGTAAAGATCCAACAGCTCAATCTTTTTTTTTTTTTTGGTAAATAACCCAAATGTAACAGCAAAAAAGAAAAGTAGTCTGTATTTTTTATGCGACATATGTTAGCTGTAGGAATTTCCTAACCTCAAAAAACAGATCAAAAATGGCAAAAATTCACGGAAAAGTCCTAGAAAAACTAGAAAATTTTTTTTCTATATTCAAATGTTCATTTATATAGTTAAGATCCCGTCAAACGTGAGTCAGAATTGATGGTTCCTTTTCTAACAACAAAAAACGGGTCAATTAAGGTCAGATATCACGAATTTTCAAAAAATAACAAATTCGCGCCAAATTTGGTGTACGGGGGTTTTCGGGGTCGCTGATCACGGATCCGAGGTCTATTTTGCAAAATTCAAGATGGCGGCCGTTCAAATTTTCAAAAAATAACACATTCGCGCCAAATTTGGTATACGGGGATTTTCGAGGTCACTGATCACGAATCCGAGATCAGATTTACAGAAAAAATAACAAGATATAGCCGAAAAAAAGTAGATTAACACATGATTGGGTACTCGGGTTATAAAGTAAAATATTACAAAATGAGTTTCGCAATTCCGACCTGAATTTGGTCGGCAATTTTGGATCCGCCATCTTGAATTTTGCAAAATTGACCTCGGATCCGTAGTCAGCGACCCCGAAAACCTCCGTATACCAAATTTGCTGCGATTCTGTTATTTTTTGAAAATTTGGTCGGCCATCTTGGATCCGCCATCTTGAATTTTGCAAAATTGACCTCGGATCCGTGATCAGCGGTCCAGAAAACCCCCGTATATCAAATTTGGCACGAATCTGTTATTGTTTGAAAATTCGTGATATCTGACTTTAAATTGACCCGTTTTTTTGAGGCTAGAAAAAGAAGCATTAATGCTGACCGCGGATTCACGTTTGGCGGGGTCTTAATAATAATAACTATATAAATGAACATTTGAATATAGAAAAAAAAATTTTTGTATATTTCTTAGCACTTTTTCATGAAATTTTGCTATTTTTTACCTGTTTTTTGAGGTTAGGAAATTCCTGTGATGTTATAGCTCAATTCTGACACCGGATTCGTGATCAGGAGGCAAAAATACTACAGATAACATAATATGTCGCATTAAAAGTACTTTTCTTTTTTTGTGTGGCTGTGTTATCCAAATGCATAATTAAAGACATACATTTATAATTAAAGAAGATTTTAAGCGTCTTTTTGACTGAAAGTCGGATATGATTGAAAGGCACAACTGACTGCAGGTAATATAGCATTGTTATCAACGAACTACCTTATATACTCGCACCTATCATTTGAAATTACTGTTATTTAAAGTAACACGCAGGTGTCACATTCAGTTACTCCCATAATTTACTTTGTAATATTTCCATTTTCTTTGCAATTATACCTGTCTTATTTAACGGGCATGGCGAGAACTTATTTCAGCGATGTTTGGTGGCAACTTGATTCAAACGAAATTGCAGATACCCTTTGAGTTAGCTGGTACTAAATGCTTTTTTTTCTGCAAATTTTGTACATTATATTAGAAAGATAAGCCACAGTTTTCTAAAACAACTTGCAATTAATTGGCAAGGTTTCTGTCGAGGCAGTTCTATTATTCTAATACAGCCTCCGACAAATAATTCCAGAGTTAAGGCCAACAATTTTGTTAAAATGCCGTTGATTTCCCAGATCGTAACTATTATAACTGAACGTAACTGCCACGTGGCAGTATAAATCCGAAAAGGCCGAAAATGGCAGCTAATGCCTTGAATCAGCGTAATAATTTAGTTATACCCG